ATTGACAAGTAACTGATTGGTTGTTTTTCAAGTGAAATGTCAATCCATAAAGTACTCTGTCCTCTTTACAGATATATAATTACCAAACATATCTATATACGGTTTAATATAAATAGATAATCTTCGTAGTTGCATTTATGTATTTTGTTTTTTGAAATAGAACATATAATGCTTGTCCACAATTGGGCTATAACAGCAGAGGTGGAACGGATGCACGGTTTTTACATTTTTGCTCTTCGCTGCCCTTCAGGCAGACAAAAGTTTACGCTTGTTAGCCTTCTTACAAAACACTCTGAGGTCAGCGGCGGATCGAATTAACAAGTCTGATTTTCGGGGCAGGTATGGGACGGTCAATTATCACACCGTTTACTTTCTTGTAATAAAAGGCTTCCGGGGTGACAAATGACCGCCCACACCTTCCCTTGTCTCATGGTGTAGGACTCTAGGGGGGTAGGGTTGTCATGAGTTTCAACGTCAACAAGCGCAACTTTCATCTGGCCAGTGCGTTAAAGAAGGGATGTTGCATTGACAAGTAACTGATTGGTTGTTTTTCAAGTGAAATGTCAATCCATAAAGTACTTTGTCCTCTTTACAGATATATAATTGCCAAACATATCTAGATACGGATTAATATAAATAGATAATCTTCGTAGTTACATTTATGTATTTTTGTTATTTAGAAATAGAATATATAACGCTTGTCCACAATTGGGCTATAACAGTAGCGGTGGAACGGATGCACGGTTTTTACATTTTTGCTCTTCGCTGCCCTTCAGGCAGACAAAAGTTTACGCTTGTTAGCCTTCTTACAAAACACTCTGAGGTCAGCGGCGGATCAAATTAACAAGTCTGGTTTTCGGGGCAGGTATGGGACGGTCAATTATCACGTTTTAGATTTATAACGATAAAAGGCTTTCCGGGGTGACAAATGACCGCCCACACCTTCCCTTGTCTCATGGTGTAGGATTCTAGGGGGATAGGGTTGTCATGAGTTTAACCGTGATGATGGAGTCGAGGGCAGGATGGCGGCCAATTTGGGACTTTGCAGAGGTAGCGTCAGCGATATTCATTCAGAAGGGTCCGAAGTGACTGAGTGCTGCGCCTGCGCGATATTCGAGCATGAGACACTTTCAGCGTCAAACAAAAATTTGATGAACATGGAACTCCCACTTGCAACCTCAATTGGTGGTAAACTCATAACAAGCCGCAAAGCAGCTTTGTGACCTTTAGGCTTTTGCGGGTAGCCTGTTGACATTCGCGAAAGTTGCTCAATATCAGCTCCATTTCGACAATGCAGGTGCTCGTTAGCATTCGCATAAAGGTGTGGGAACACAATTGTGTACAAGGTCTCAGGTCGGCGGCCCTTCCTATAGAGCAACATCTAGTAACATGTCTAAGACGATGGGTTTGCTTTCATGAAGAGCGACTTTAATGAAGCCCATTGTTTGGCGTTCAGTGTGGTAATTTGCCACAATGGGTTGTGAGATTTTTGTGGGTCGCCTATGGTGGTTGCATACCTTAAATCAGTCCGCGCACGCGCTTTTGCATATGCGTGCACGTGTCCTCCTGAAGCTTAAGATGTATGCCAGTATTCAAGATGCACCAACCAGCCTTACAAAGTTCAGCGCGTGGATGACCTGTCGGTCAGCAGGTGATTGTGGATCCGAGGTTCCTGGCACTGTGATTCTTAGTTCGACGGCAGAAGTTTTTCCTTTAGTTGCAGACCTTTCTGGTCGTTGCTGCAGGCCCCTTTCACCACTTGTTTGTCCACCTGCACTGAGTTTCGGACTGCGCGAAAGCCCTTTGCACCGCCACCGCCCCTTGAAGCACTGCACCTTTGACTGTGGACGCGGTGGCTACCTCTATACATATAAATTAAGATATCTACATATATGTACCATATGTGTATATATACATACACGTGATATATACCTTGTGCATGTGCGCACACACACACACACGCTAAACCTTTTTGCCTGTGCACCATGGATGGTCCTTGATGAGTAACAAAACATGCGTTCCGTGTTCACATGCGCATGCTTTGTAGAATGCTACTTTTCTTTTTTTCATCCAGCGCAATATATATATATATATTGAACAGATAAGTATGATGACTATTAACACATCCTGCTTCCATTCACTAATTCCAACATGTATTCTTTTGCAGCTCGTGGGACTAGGCGTTGTAGGTCTAGTGCATGGGTGCACCTGAGTAGGGAACGACACAGACACTCGCACACACGCAAACGCGCACTTGTTGGCCCTCGGGTGTGCAGAGAGAAGCAGAGAGCAACCAAAAAATTGGCCCCATCCAAGCCTGTCTCTCTTCGTGCGAGGTCTTGGCAAAGGCACAAACCTATGAGTGGATGTATTGGTAGTTGTAGGCTTACCGGCAAGAAATGAAAAAGGACCTCAGGACCTCAAAGCAATACTAGTCAGCCAGACATGGGTAGGTCTTGGGCCTGTTGTGGCATATACTGTAACAATACACAGTGCGCCTACTGTTTTGAAACAAAAAGGTTGCGCGCCGCTCTCCTCGCATATGGGCAGAGTTACGCCAGAGCTGTTTGCTTGGCATTTGCAAAGGGCCCTTCCACAAAGCTGGCCAAACTTTGGTGAATCCACCTCCAGAAATGTCCAGACACAGTGGCACAATATGTTTGATAGGGCTTGAGACCCAAAGATTCTTCACGTGGAGGAGGGGCAGGAGGCTATTTCAAAGGCAGGAATTTTATTTCAGCAGTGAGGGAGGGTGCCAGAGAGAGAGAGAGGGAGAGAGAGGGGATTGAGGACAATGAGAGAAATCCACGGAGGGGATTGCAAGGCAGACAGCAGCGCCAGCACTCGGAACATCCAGCATGCCCTATGCCAACAGTGGGATTGCCTGTTGCGGTTGGAGAAGGCCTTCGAAGAGCTTTGTCCCCACCACACCCTTTCTGGGTGCATGATGTGGCTGCGTCCTTGAGAATGCTCAATTCTGGTAGCTTCTTTGTTCTTATTTATTGTTTGCGCAGGCACCCTGTCACACCGTTCAACTCTCACTTAAAGCAGCGGTCGGCTCCTAGGATTGAAGCAAACTGCCCAAAGCTTGTTGCCATAGCTTGACCTGAAATCCTGAATCCTGAAGGCCCACCTCTTCTCCTTCACCCAGGCAGCTGGTGGTTGGGCTGCAGCGCGGAGAGTTTCTGAGGCTTGCGCAAATGAGAAAGGATGGAAGGCTATGAAAGTCACATCTTTGGATTCTGTAGTGTGTCGGCTTGTTATTACCTGAAGTGTTGCTGCTTGGAGTGTACAAGTCAGTTCTCCTTTTCGCATTTTATGTCCTGCATGAAATGACACCCAGATCTACCCTCTAGACTCTAGACGGCTGTCGTGGTTTTTGCAGAGGATTCTAGATTCCAGTTGTATATAACATGTTCTCACAATGTACGAAGCGTTGTTCGAGTGATTACGGACCTGCCACGGTGCCATACACATTGTTTAACATAAGCATGAGCTCAATATAGTAAATAGTTCGGCGACATTGATGAGCTTGGTTCCAATGAGCCAATGAACTCATCGATGAACTCCCGCACCTGACCTTTATAACTTTACTTGCGCCAGCTGGAATGAATGAATGAAAAGTGGGTCAAAGCTTTTCAGCTGGAAAGCCTTTCAAAAGCCAAAAGATTAAAGGACCGGACAACCCAACATGTGCAGTTCAATTTGGAATTCATGAGTGTTAACCCCACAGATGTTTAAAAAAACCGGGACCTAGGAGAAATGTAAGCAGTGGTCCCGTTTTAGCAAACCATGGCTGATTCATTGTAAAACGATAAAGAGTTTTAAAAAACGATAACACTCATGTAATACATGCAGTACAGTACATGAGAATAGAAGCATTGGAAATTCAAATGCCTTCAGTTCTTGAAGCAAATAGCTGTCAAATCCAGTTATTGATTTCAGGTGCATTCTTTTTAACAAGAGTGTTTCATATCAAGGTTTTCGTGTAATACAAGCATTCAGGAGTGATTTCTTGTTTGGCTCCTTGAGCATCGCTGGGACATGGATAGACATTTGCTGATCCATATGGGTAAGTATAGTTGCATGTACATGCATGGATTCTAATTCAGTGGATGTTAGGCCGACAGGTCAACAGCACCCATGTGAATCATTCTTGAGAATATGTTGTATTAAGTGTTTGAGTCCGTTAGGCCACCAAAATGGGTGAAGCGTTGGGGGTTCCAAAACGATAACAAAACGATAACAAAAACGATAACAAGAATACACGAAAAAGTCCTCGGGAAGACCATGTCCCACATGTACAAATTCAAAACTTTTCAACATTTCCTTCAAACAGACTCCAAACATCAAGGGCCGTCGGATCATCCGTCGGTATTCCAACCTGTTCTGCTGGTGCCCCTGGAGGTGGAAATCCGGACCTTACCGGTAAGGCCCGGATTTAGGGCTGCTTTTGGGGTGGAGCAGGCTCAGTTCGTCCACCAATAAGACTCCATCTAGGTACCGTTCGAGCCGGGAACCGGCGAACAGGTTGGGGCCCGAGGGGTGCTCACCGCTCTCCCCCCGTAAAGGGAAGAGACACAGAGACAGGGGGAGAGGAGAAAAAGTGTAGAAAAAGTAGCTAGTTGATTTTTAATTCTTAGTGATTTTCCTGGTCAAATTCCTTCAGTTCCTGGCTTTCCTTGATGTTTGGAGTCTGTTTGAAGGACATTTTGAACAGTCAAATTTTCATTGAACATATGCACGCGCGCACACACATAACAGACACCGACTTTTTTGCAGTGGAGGCAGGGACATGTGTGGTTAGCTGGGAAACGACAAGAGACTGTATACTGAGTTCCAAACATTGAAAAACGATAACAAGTTAAAAAAAACGATAACGCTGAAAGTGGTCATACAAAATGTATAGGGGTTTTTCCCGAATGCGTAGCGAAGGGTTCTCGTTTAACTCTTGGGGGTCTGGGGGTGGAGCCTTGTTCGCGACCCGTTGTTTCTATGTTCGCAACCGTCCGCAACCGTCCGCAACCGTTCGCAACCGTCCGCAACCGTTCGCAACCGTTCGCAACCGTCCGCGGTAGAGCGCTAAGGCGCTGCCAATGGGGGAAGCTTTTGAAAGTGACTATCCATGGATGTGTAACGCGTGAGTTTGCGCCGCTATTCCATTGTGATTTGCGTGAAAAGGACATGTCGCGCAAGAAGCGTGATGCATTTCGCTGCACAGGCGCAGCGTTTTGTGAGATCCGCAGTTTGCTACGCAGTTCCATTGGGATGAGCGTTTGGAGAGTCGTGTTTTTGGGGTGTTGGGTGTGGCCGTGCCATTGATTTGCGTTTCAGGGTGTGGCATCGAAGCTTTGTTTTCGTGACAAGTCTCAGCTGAAATGCCGATTTTGGACTCTGGGAGTGTGTTCAGAACGGGTCGAAATCATTCCAAACGTGTGGCGTGGTGCAAATTTTGTTGAAGCTGACATGAGATGATATTGCCACTTTTCGTGGCAGGCGCAGTACTTTGTGTGGGTTTTGAGGCGAGGAAGTGCGATTCTCCTGGCAGGCGCAGGGAATGGTGAGGTTGCGAGGTGTGACGGAGGTGACATTTCGTGGCAGGCGCAGTACTTTGTGCGCGTTAGACTTGTGGATGCGGAAAGATTCGTGGCAGGCGCAGGGAATCGTGAGGTTGTGAGTTGTGGTAGAGGTGAATGTCGCTGTCACATTGGGATTGGCGTGTGAGCGGGTGTTGTTTGGAGGGGCTGGAATAGCGAAACTGCTTGGCAGGGCTGCGTGATGTGTGTGCTCCGATGGGTGTTTCCGCTGGACTTTTGGAGGAAGTCTCGTGCGAAACGTTCGTTTTGCAGACTTTGACATGTGAGTTTTTGAGGAAGTCTCGTACGAAACGCTCGTTTTGGGGACTTGACATGTGACTTTTGGAGGAAGTCTCGTACGAAACGCTCGTTTTGGAGACTTGACGTGTGACTTTTGGAGGAAGTCTCGCACGAAACGCTCGTTTTTGAGACTTGACGCGTGACTTTTGGAGGAAGTCTCGTCGTCTTGCAGCCTTGCAGCGTGACTTTTGGAGGAAGTCTCGTACGAAGAGTGTGCCCTACAGGAGTGTCCCACAAGAGTGTCTCCTACAAGAGTGTCCCACAAGAGTGTCCTACAAGAGTATCCCACAAGAGTTTCCTCCAAGAGTGTCCCACAAGAGTGTCCCACAAGAGTGTCCCACAAGAGTCTCCTACAAGAGTGTCCCACAAGATCCCACAAGAGTGTCCCGTATGAGTGTCCCACAAGAGTGTCCCACGAGAGTGTCCCGCATGTCCCACAAGAGTGTCCTACAAGAGTGTCCCACAAGAGTGTCCCGTATGAGTGTCCCACAAGAGTGTCCCACAAGTGTGTCCCACAAGAGTGTCCGACAAGAGTGTCCCATAAGAGTGACCCACAAGAGTGTCCCACAAGAGT